ATGTAGAAAAAAAATTTTATTCATTATTTTTTACTGATCAGAGACTGTGTGTGTGAGAGAGAGAGAGAGAAGAGAGAGAGAGAGAGAGAGAGAGAGAGAGCACAAAAAATTAGGTGACAGACAAAAATGTAATTTTGAATTCACGACAAAAAATCTTTTCTTATATCAAACATACTTCAAGAATATTCTCTCTCATCACTGATCGGTGTATTTGTTGCCCAGAATTGCTAGTTATCTCTCATTGCACACTATATACGAGTGGAAAGGGATTATATATTTTCAATATACTAGCCTTACCAGTTTATTGCTAATACCTTTTTAGCAAGTAAGACTTATGATTGAAAATAATATCCGCTGTTTTTAAGAGAGACATGTTTAGAGAATACATGATATGCTTAAGGAATGTGTGTTTAGTTTATAAACGACATGTTTGTTAAGCAGTCTCTGAAATAGTAGTATATTTTTGGTGAGAGGATATAAATGACATTTTATTTATTAAATATATTTACACGGGTTATATAACTTATAAACACTAAGTGAGAATCGATTGGTTGACAAATAAAATAAATATCTTTTCACATGTAATATAAAATTTCTTGATCTACTATTTGTTTGCACAGTACATTGGACTCACGATATAATGTACAGATTATAGCACATATTATTAACACATTAAGAATAAATCAATAGTATCATGTATACAAATGTTTAATAATTTGTGTATACTAGATCAAATTAATTTTATAATTTTAATTATATATTGTTGCTTGTAAGTTTATTATATCCTATATAAAATGTATTACCGTATATACAGCTCAAAAGGGAAAGGTATTGTATATGAAAAGTTTTTGTGAGATATAATGAGAGATTGAATGAAATACATTGAAAGGAAAGTTGAAAAAAGTGCGAAAAAATAATATGTTTCACAAATTACTCAACACTTTTGTCGATGGGAAGCGAGAAAATAGTTTTTTGTTTCATATAATAAACACATCTTTTCTCTTATCCTTAAAACAAATCAAGATTTTTCACGAAAAGTATGTCTTATAACAAAAAATTTTATTATTTTTTAAATCTGTTAAATAATACTGTATTCACTCTATATTTTATTATTATTTTAAGGGTGCATGTATGTTTTTTGTGTGTATGTATAATTTATTATTATGTTTAGTTAACTGTGAATGAAATACATGTTTTTCATAGAATATTTTTTGTTAACACTTTTTGACACAATATTCTGTAAGTTATTATTGAATGTAATTTTTCCTATGAAAGAAGCAATTTATTATTTATGTAACTTTTATTTAATACAGAAATATAGTGTTCAATAGACGTAATGTAAATATAAATGCGAAACAAAACTAATATTAATGTTACGAAAGACTTTCTCTCTCTCTCTCTCTCTCTCACACAAACAGAGAGAGAGAGAGAGAGAGAGAGAGATAAAAGTTAATATTATTGTTATTATAGACGAAAAAAAGGAAAAAGAAAAAGTTTTTAAGAATAATAAAAATACAGATAAATGTGTGAATCAATTGGACATAAGAAGTGGAGGCATAGTGAGAGCAATAATAAATAAAAAGTTATAAAAATAAACGATAATTACATGTCTTGTGTACTGAATACAAAGGCAATGAATTTATAGTATAAAAAGTATATTGAATATTTTTGTGATAACTTTTCCCATTGTATTTATTCTGTAAATAATTCAATTGATATATTTCTATTATAATATCATAAATGCCCTGATGTATTTAATTATCAATAAGTTATTAAACTATGGTGCAAACGAACTTAATAGTACAAATAAACTATGCAAGTGAATTTTATTTTAATAGTACCTTTTATATTAATTAATCAGTAATTAATATTGATTTTACAATCAATTGTGTAATATTATGCCTAAAGAATATTCTATAAAAAATGTGTTTAATAATAAACACACATTTAATTAGTGTTGACAATGTGACGGAAAATACCACAGAATATTCTGTATGTGTTGCTAATTATAATTATACTAATAAGCGGAATATCGAAAATTGTGTTTATATTAAAATATAATATTTAACATAAAGAATTTTACATAATATATTATATAATCTCTTTCCTAATATATTACACACAGAATCGCATATATTTTATTTAATATTCACCAATTTCTTATATACTAATGTCTATTATGTCTATTGAAATAAATCTTAAATGATACTTGTGTCTAGAAATCCTATTTTACTGATAGGGACTGATGGGAAAGGGTGGGAACAGTAGGCATTGTGTGTGTGTGTGATACAAGTCGAGAGATAATGTAATAAAAGTCTTGAATAAAATAAATCGTTTGTCCGATTGAATAGGAAAAAGGCAAATGAAAATTAAACGCTTTATTTAATGGAATATTCTGTGTCGCGGAATACGATTAATAAATTTCTATTATATTATAATACTATTAAGAATATTCTGTGTATTCTATAAGAGTCTCTCTCTCTCTCTCCCTCTCTCTCTAAACACTAACTGAAAAAATCCGTATTTTATTGAAATGTTTTTTCGTCAGACAAACAAAATTAATAAAATTCTTTGGATTTGTTTAAATCTAGTCATTGTTGTTGTTATTGCTTTGCAGTTAAATACAGAATACAGAATATTCTATAAAAAAAATTTAATATAAACTCATAGCTTGTAAAACCAAATTTAAACAAATTTCTAGATAAAAAAGCACGACAATTTTTATTTTTATTTACTTTTTATTATTAAAAACTTCAAAAAGGACCGAAAGTTTTATTAAACAAAAATTTATTTGAAGCCTTTTCATACGGAATTTAAACTATGTTGTAATATTCTATTAATATCTTGGTAATCATTTTTAATATAAACATATTTTAATATAATAAATTTTTAAACATGATTTTATAGGTTACTTTATATTCATTTAAATTATAATAGTCATTGATTTATAAGCATAATTACTTTTTATTTAAATAAATTTTGTTAAGTATTTTGTTGAACAGACTATATATTAATAAATTATATTCAATTGGGTGCTATGTGTATAAGCCGGGTATCTACAGTCTANTATGTGTATAAGCCGAGTATCTACAGTCTATTGAATCCCAATTTATTTTATATAACACTGACTTTGTATGTAGTAAACCATACATTCATTCACCAGATTCTGTGACTCGACGTATCATTAATACAATTCTCGCCATTAATTCAACAATTAATTAATCAAAGGATTCGTACCTTTTATCGCGAGTTTTAGGTTTACTTTACTTTTTCGCACAGATTTTTATTAATGATTTTTTTTCAAATGTAACGTCAGTTTTGATTTAAAAGACTAGTGAATAATATAGTTTGCTTTAGTGCGCCAAACAAAGAATATTCTGTATAGGATTCCGTGTTATAATTTTCCCATTTATTACCGCAAAAGTAGTCGCAAAAATATTTAATTTAAATCCCTGTGCACCCAATNCGATATTATTGCCATTACTTATAGTTATTAATATTATATTTATGTCTTTTATGAGTTATTAATTTAAAATATTGAAACCCTTAGCAAATGAAATCTCTCACTCACTCACTCACTCTATGAAAATATACAGTAGTTTTGAGAAATAAAAACTTTTTTCTTATCGCAAACCATTTATTATACTTTTTTGTAATCAATTTCGAGATCTCCGAGATTTTCACATTTTCGAGATTATTTTATTTGTTTTTGTTTTCATCACACTTTTAATAAAATAGTAGTCCTATAGAGGAGTGGGAGGGGAGTGAGAGATTTCATTTGCTAAGGGTTTCAATATTTTAAATTAATAACTCATAAAAGACATAAATATAATATTAATAACTATAAGTAATGGCAATAATATCGGAGTTATTAAAATGTGAAAGCTCATATAAAATTATTATCTAAAACCACATAAATGTTAGTTAATGTTTAAAGCATACATGAATAAATAATAATTGTTAGTATGTAGTACAGCCTGTACTGTACAGGTATTATGTAGTATAGTAGTCTGAAATTAATTAATGCATTCATTTTGAATCAATTATATTGTAGGCATAGTTATTTAATGAATATATTTGGAAAGTCATAATTATATTTTATTTGCAAATAATTATCATTTTATGAATTCTAGATAAAATAAATTTGTCGTTTTTGAATGTATTTAAAATTAGTCGTAAGTACTATAAATGTTAAATAATTAATAAAGAATTTTAATTACAAAATTGTATTTTATAAATTAATTTTAATAATAATGATAAATAAATTTTATTTTATAATTATTTTTTATACAGATAATTATTAATAATACCAAGATGAAAACAATTAAAATTGACAATAATTTAACATACATTTCATAAAATATTGTATATTAAACGTAACATAATTTAAATATCAGATTTATGAGTGTATATAATAACTATACAGTTTATATATTTATATAAAAGTAGAATATATTCATACCAATTTAACATGTACATTTGTGTGTTTATTTATTATTTATTTAAATTTGATAACAAATAAATTGAACATGTACTTTATATAATAAAATCAATAATATAAATAGATTCATAAACACTTATATTTGCTACAATAGCATATATAATAAATGTTATTTTCAAAAAATATAATATACATAAAACACACACAAAATATATAAAATGCTAATAAAACAGGAATTTTTCAAAACCATTTATGAAATAAATTTTCATTTATAAATATAACATCAAATATAACAGGATTTTATTTATTTCACCCATAATTTCTACACAACTATAATATAACTAAATATTTTTACATAAAATTTTCATATTTATACAATATATTGTTAATTAACCTTGTACAATTTATTTGTTTGTAAAAGTAGTACTGCACTACACTAATCAACCAATTGAGCTAGTAATATTTATGGACTATTTTTGTTAAAAGTATAGGTATATCTAAATTTCAAACAGTATCAATTTAGAAGTATCTGAATTTATAAACATTACTGACCCTTAATACCAGGGTTAATTATATATTGTTTTGAGAGCAATACCATCCAATGGTTTAACTATTTGAGAGCCCCTGGTAATAAATTAAACCAGGTGTATTACCCTCAAAGCTAATATATTAAATTTGTGTCACTTTAGGTAGCTGCTTAAATATAAAATAAATTATCCATATCCATTTTAAATTCGTAACAAACATGCTATTTATAGGGTTGGATAGTTGTATTAAAAAAGGGGACTGGGTGCTTTGTAATAAAATATTAGACAAAAGTAGACTGGTTACATTTATTAGTGGCAACGCCGCACATATTCCGGTGCTTTTGTGTCTCGATGATAGCGCCGGCATCTGTGGCCTCTGTATTATTAACGGGTGGCGTACCGGCCCTCCCACAGGTAGTGGACGTCATCTCATTGTTCAGTCGACAGCTACCGGTGACCGTCTCCTCGATCACCGGCTGTTTCGGGTGAATACAGCAGCAGATTATGTGAAATAGTTTTTGTGCGCCTATTATGTGAAACAGGTAGTGGACGTCATCTCATTGTTCAGTCGACAGCTACCGGTGACCGTCTCCTCGATCACCGGCTGTTTCGGGTGAATACAGCAGCAGATTATGTGAAATAGTTTTTGTGCGCCTATTATGTGAAGCATAGGATTGACGGGAAAGGTAGTTAATGTCAAGAATATTCTGTGTAAGCATTTTTGTATGTGGTTTTGATTAATTATATAAGACATACCTTTCCGGAACGACTCGTTCAGCCAGCAGTATATAAATGGCTATAATATGTAAATATATTTATTTAATTAAATGTGATATAAATGTGGCGTAAAATAAGTTATGAAAAGTTTGTGATTAATATTACTGATTATAATCAGTATATTTTTTTTGGTTATGGTTTATGAGAACTATATTAATATAGTTTTATGATCAAGATAATTTTGACATAAAATTATTTTAATATTGATATGAGTTTACATACATTATAGCAAACTGAGGACATGGCTACCCAGTGACAGATGAGGAATATATTGAAATCAGCGCTGACTATCTTGAAATCCACCAACATGTGGTATGTGTTCTAGATCATTTCAAAAGATATTTTTAAAAATAATTTTATATGAATATATATATATATAAAGTATAAAATGTTGATTTTATCACTGATAACTGTCATTATCAGACCAATTAATTATTTTTATGTTATATTATAATATATAATAAGTTAATATAAATTGATTGATACATTTTATCTATCATTTTAATAGTAAATAAATTTAATGATATCCATGTCTTGTAATCATGGTTTCATTGATTTGATTGATATATTCATGAGAGAGAGAGAGAGAGAGAGAGATGTTTATAGCAATCAAAGGACTCAACAAATGATGCAAAACTTTAAGACTCTTAATGGCATCACAAAAGTCTCTGCCATTAGATAAGAGATTAGACTTTTTTATAGTATGTTTGTGTAGACTATGGGACTGGTAGTGTAGTAGTCGTAGGCCGTAATACTTGCGCTGAGTTTTATTTTCTGTACACAAATTGTTTTGTCAATTATTTTAATTAAATCACAACAAGCGCTCGCTTTATATTAGTATAGGTTGTCAGCGATTGATTGAATGACACAACAAATAAAATTGTAAATAAAATTACTTTGTTTGGAGAGTAGACATACAATCAGTACAATCAGTCATATGGGAAGGTTAGGCTATATTCTGTAATCTCTCTCTCTCTCTCTCTCTCTCTCTCTCTCTCTCTCTCTCATGAATATATCAATCAAATCAATGAAACCGTGATTACAAGACATGGATATCATTAAATTTTATTTACTATTAAAATGATAGATAAAATGTATCAATCAATTTATATTAACATATTATATATTATAATATAACATAAAAAATAATTAATTGGTCTGATAATGACAGTTATCAGTGATAAAATCAACATTTTATACTTTATATATATATATATTCATATAAAATTATTTTTAAAAATATCTTTTGAAATGATCTAGAACACATATCACATGTTGGTGGATTTCAAGATAGTCAGCGCTGATTTCAATATATTCCTCATCTGTCACTGGGTAGCCATGTCCTCAGTTTGCTATAATGTATGTATAAAACTCATATCACTATTAAAATAATTTTATGTCAAAATTATCTTGATCATAAAACTATATTAATATAGTTCCCATAAGTTCCCATAAACCATAACCAGAAAATATTTTACTGATTATAATCAGTAATATTAATCACAAACTTTTCATAACTTAATTTACCCCACATTTATATCACATTTAATTAAATAAATATATTTACATATTATAGCCATTTATATATTGTTGGCTGAACGAGTCGTTCCGGAAAGGTATGTCTTATATAATTAATCAAAACCACATACAAAAATGCTTACACAGAATATTGTTGACATTAACTACCCTTCCCGACAATCCAATGTTTCACATAATAGGCGCACAAAAACTATTTCACATAATCTGCTGCTGTATTCACCCGAAACAGCCGGTGATCGAGGAGACGGTCACCGGTAGCTGTCGACTGAACAATGAGATGACGTCCACTACCTG